TTTTTACAAATTTTTTGTTGAGATGGGGGGGGGGGTCTCACTATGTTGTCCAGGCTGGTCTTGAACTCCTGGCCTCAAGCAATTCTCCTGCCTCAGCCTCTCAAAGAGCTGGGATTACAGATATTAGCTACTGTGCCTGGCCAAAAAATTAAAAAGAAGGGTTGGAAAATGAAATTAAACAACTGTCCCAGGAAGTAGAACAAAAACACAAAGGGATGAAAAATAAGAAAATTAAAGGATGTTTTCAGGAGATTACAACATTCAGCTAATAGCAGTTTCAGAAAAACTGTGGTAAAAACAGTAAGGAAGAAATAATCAAAGAACTAATACAAGAAAATACACTAAAACTTTATAATATGAATTTTCAAAATGAAGGGGCCCACTGAGTTCCTAAAAATTACTGATAAGAGCATTGCTACAGCACATAATCATAAAATGCAAAAATACTAGTGACAGGGAAAAAAGACAATCATTTCCAAAAAGAAAAAAAGACTACATTTAAAATCTTGATAAGCAGAATACCATCAACTTCTCAAGCAGTAATATATGGCCATAGTGACAATGAAGAAATGCCTTATAAAATGCTGAGAAAATGTGACTTATTTCTTGGAATTTTGTGCCTAAATAAATAAGCAATCAAAGGTGGAATGAATGAATGTATGGGTTTGCCTGTGTGTGTGTGTGAGAGAGTGAGAGAGAAACAAGGTAAGCCAGAGACACATTCCAACCTTCTTTTTTACTCACAGAACTGTTTTGTTTGAAGAACCAATGTACATAGTTAAAAATATTTACTTTTCTAGTATTCTATACAAGCTAGCAGTGGCCCTGTGTCACGGTCTAGCCAATGATATCTAAGACAAAATCTACCAAAAAGGCTTGTGGAAACATTTATTTTCCTGATGAAAATAGATTTGACTGGTTCTGCCTTTTGTCCTTTCTGCTGTATTACTGCCTGGAATGCAGATATGATGCCACAAGTTACAGCAGTTATCATGAGACCACGAAGAAGTAAGCATAAAGGCAAAAGTCAATATCTAAGCAGCACAGATAGAAATAAAAGAAAGAATGTGCTTGTGTCCCCGATCACATCATTGACCTGCCACACCAGTTAGACCAGCCACCAAACTTCTTACTTTGCAACTTGAATACAAGCTTGTAAAAATTGCTGGTTTCAAGTTTCTTTTTGTTATTTGCAGCTGAAAGCATCCCTGATACATTCACAAGTTATAAAAAAAAAAAAATTGTATCTCCCCAACACCCTTCCTCAGGAATTTACTGGAAAACATGCCCACAGAAATGAGGAATGAACTAATAAATAGTTATGGTGCTCAGAATGTAGGTGATTCAACACAGGAAGGATGCAAGAGGAATTCTTAGCATCTTGGTAATACGGGTAGTCCTCAGACAACAGCTGTAATTTATGCCTAAAAAGTAACCAAATCATATTGGAACAGGAGGAGGAAGGGCTCCAGGAAAAATGACGTCAAAAAAAAAAATCATGGCTTAGATTGCCTGATGTGTTTGATCATATGGAAAGGAGCTTGATAGTTCTTCCAGAAAGTGTGGAGGTAAATAGAGGTTGTGTAGTGGATGAGAAAAAACAAAAACCAAGTATTTCCCCTACTCTCTCTCTCAGAACTGAATGTTTCACCTCTAATCAAATGTGTGGGAATTTCTTCCCACTAACCACTGATTCTTCAATGGACATCAACTGGGTATCCTACAATTTAACCCTATTCCAGAGAAAGCACCAAATCACACAGGTTCAGGGCTCAGTCCCACAAGACTGCCCCCCAATGCCAGATGCCAATCACAAGTAGTAGATTGTCACACCTATACTTCTGATCAACTAGCTATAAATTGGGGGTCCCACAACCCCCTTCTGAGGTTTGGTTAATTTGTTAGGTTAGCTCACAGAATCCCAGAAAACACTTGCTTATATTTACCAGTTTATTATATTAATGAAAGATGTAATTAAGGACACAGATGAACAGCAGTTGCAAGAGATGCAAAGGGCAGAGAATGTGGAAAGGGATACAGAGCTTCTATTCCCTCCCTAGAAGCACCACCCTCCAGAAATTTTGATTTGCTCAGCAATCTGGAAATTCTACAAACCCTTGTCCTTTGGAGGATTTATGGAGGCCTAATTACATAGGTGTGATTAATTACACCACTGGCGATCAAGTCAACCTTCAATTCCTCTCCCCTCCCTAGAGGTTGCCAGGGGAGAGACATTGAAAGTCCTGACTTCCATCATGCCTTGGTAAGCTGATTAGCATACAAAAGACACTCTTAATACCCCAGAAATTCCAAGGATTTTAGGAGTTCTGTGCCAGGAACCAGGGGCAGAAACCAAATATACATTTCATATTATATCACAATATTACAGCTTGGTGCACAGAAAATAAAGCAAACAAAAATCAAAACAAGGCAATTATTAACTCTAGGAAAAGCAAAAAGTTACAAGAGGGATGAAATGCCATAAAACACTGCATGGCAAAACAGTGAAAAGTATTTGCAAAGTCTTCTTAGTGCAAACATTGATTATTATTTTTTTTTAATGATGGCACTACTATATTGGGAAGTTGAAAAGAAGAGAAGGCAGTATGTCTGGAGTAGCGTGAGCAAGGGGAGAATGGTAAGAAAGGGGATCAGAAAGGAAAACAGGAATTAGGTCATGCTGAGGTTTGGATTTTCTTTCCGAAGGGTGATAGACACTGGGGAGTTTCAGACAGGAAACTTGAATTATCTAACTCATGATTGAAAATAACAACTTTGGCTCTGTTGTGGAGGCGAATATGCCGTGCAGGGATAAGTGAAAGGCCAGGAGGCCAGCTGGGTAAGATGGATAAGCGGCTTCCGCAGAAGAGATTTTTCCTATAAGGTGGCCTGGACTGGGAGAGGCATACTTTGGAGTGTAAGGAAGTGGGTAGATGGGAATACCTTCAGGAGGTTGGTGGCTTATGGAGTAAAAAGGGAGACGCCAGGATGACTTCCTACCTGTTAGCACAAGGCATCTGGAGAAGGCAGAGGAGGTTGTTACTGAGTTTGGGAAGACTGGGGAAGGAATGATTTGCAACTAGTGAGTTTGGGATCTAGGGTTCTGCTTTGGACTTGTTAGGCTGAGTTGCCTCAGAAGGTACCAAGTAGGCAACTGTGCCAGGGCTCAGGGTACAGACAAGCCTAGGAACAAACTCAGAATATGCTCAGTCCCAACAAGTAGCAATTCCTCCTTCTATTTTGCCAATGTAAAGAAATGTTTCATTATATGTTTGGAGCTTTAAACAGCCTCAGTGGTATGATTTGGGGCACTGATGATTGAAGACTTGATACTGAGACTCTAAGGGTAAACAAGCAGTGAATCCTGGAATAGGTCACAATAGGTAATCCATTCAAAGTGCTTATGCCTCCCTGCATAAGGTTTTCTATTTTGGGTCATATCTATCTTAAGGAAAAACTCTCTCCACCAAAGCTGAAGTCATAAAATAGTAAAAGTCCTCCCCACGACACACACCCAAGAAATAATTTCCCATTATTAGCTGGATTTAACAAACATTTTAAATTGATTTAATAAACACACACCCAAGAAATGATTTCCCATTATTAGTTGGATTTAATAAACATTTTCCCCTAAAAAAAAATATGTTTGTCCCTGATCAGTAGACTTTATGTGTACAAAGCCTGTGCCAAGTTAAAGACCACGTCAGGCACACTTTGAGACACTTTCTGTTTTTTAAAAAGTTCTTTCTCAATAAACATTCAAAAGGGCCAATTTGTATAAAAGTCTTTCAAAGCAAAATTCACTACAGGTCATTGAGTTCTTTAAACCCTCAGCACTATTCTTTCTTGACTTTCTCATTGCATTGTGCAATCTCTGCATTTAATCGTTAATCCCCAAATTGGTGTTCCCCGTGTGGATTTTAACAAGAACTGGGTTTTAGCCACATTACAGTAGACGCGGTGGGGGTGGAGGGCAGCAGTGGCAATCGCAAAATAAAACGTATCATAAAGTGGTAACGGCTCGTGATTGAGGCCAGTTGAAAAATAAATGCCTGTTATATAGAATCATAGAAATTTAGAGCTTGGGGCCAAGGCGAGTCGTTCATCCGTGGACCGACAGCGCCCCAGGCGGCAGAAAGAAGACGGCGGCGGCGACCGGGGGAAGCTCCCGGATTTTTGAAAAGGCACCTGCTGGGTGAGCCCTCACTGTGCAAACGGGATCCACAGGTGCCCGGTTTTAAGAGGATATAACTCGGGAAAATCTAAGCCTACAAAACAACCATAAGATCCTCATATTAAACTCCTAAATAAGTTTTCGCTTTACACCAAGTTGATGTGGGTGGTAATTCACCGCAGAGAAACTGAGTGGAGGGAGGAGGGAGAATTCGGCTAAAGTTTGCCCGCGACTGACAGGGAGTGACCTGGAAATCAGGAATAGCGGAGTGGGGGTGGGTAGAAAACTAATGAAGTAGCTAAGAGAGTCCGTTTATGAAAATAGAGCCCGCGGTGGAGCGCAGCAGGCACACCTGCGGAGAAGGGGGCTGCCTCACCTGCGGGGCCGCTGCGCGCCCACCCCAAGCGTGTAAGCGGGGAAGGCGGGGGCTGGCCCGGAGCCTGGAGTGGGGGTATCACTGTGGGACAGGGCCAGCAAGAGGACCCGACACGCATCGTCCCGAGCGACACGTGTAATTGTCAAGAAACAGAGACAACTGCAAATGTCACCCAGGAGGGTGTGGATGGCGGAGCGGTCCCGAGGCTGTGCCCGCCGAGGCAGGCACTGGTCCCCATGGGGCTGCGGGCCAAGTGTCCCCCTTCCCCGGGGAACTGGTACCTGGGAGGGGGTCGGTATCGCCGCGCTGGAAGCGCGAGCCCGGAGGACTCGGGAGATGCGCCCTGGCGCGCCGCCCCTCAGGGCAGCCCCGGACTTCGGCGCGCTGGGGCGCAGCGTGTGTGTCCCCGGCGGGGCGGGCAGAGCCAGCCGCCCGGGCTCCGCGACTTACCTCGGGCCTCGCGGGGCGCGAGCAGAGCCCCGGCCAGGGCGAGCAGGAGGGCGCGGGCGGGGGGCGCGGGCGGCGGGCGCGCTGCCATGGTCGCCGGCTTTCTGTGCAGCAGCTCTTGGGCCCGGCAGCGAGCGCTGCAGCATCCCACGCGGGCGCCGAGCCGGGGCCGGGCGTCGCGACCGGAGGGATTTCCTGCCGCGGAGAGTCAGCTCCGGAGCCCTCGCGCAGCGCCCGCGCCGCCGCTGAGCTCGTCTAGCCTTTCATTTTAAAAAAGTTTGCCCCCGTGTGTGCGTGCGCGCGCGCGCGCCGTTCTGGCACACGCCAGCCTTGACCGTTGCAATAAATGAGCAAACTGTCCGAGTTGGCCCGGGGACGAGGAAGAGCGTTAGTGAGAGAAGGCCGGACTGTGGAATGGATCCGCGGCCAGCAGTCACCGTTCTCATTACCACGGAACAAATTATGTCTCCCCCGCACCCCCGCCCGTCGGCGGCGTCCCGCGGGTCCTAGAGACCGCTCGGGTCGCCCCGCCAGGGTCCCGCCCCGAGCCGCGGCTCGCTCAGACCCGGGGGTGGGCGGCTTGGGGCAGGGCGCCTCCCTGGCCGCGCGCACCGGCGGCATAGACGTGGCTTGGTGGCGGCCGGGCGCTCGGAGCGCACACGTCCCCGCCCCAGGATGATGTGGCCGCAGGGCCCGGGGCGCCCGGCTGCCAAGAGCACACGCGGCGGCACGGTCCAGCTTTCCAGTCTGAAGCTGGAAACGATGACTCGGCGGCTCGCTCCCTGGCTAGCCGGGAACCCTCGGAGTGCGGGTCGGGTCTCCACAGCTGCCGACAGCCCGGCGCGCGCCCCCCGTCCTGCCCTAAGCGCCCAACGGGGCATCTCGCGCCCCGGAAGCAAGCCTGGACGCAGGCACAAAGCACCTGGGCGTTCCTTTTGATCTGCAGTGTCAGGCTTTAGGTTGATAGATTGGCCGTTTCCTTTCCAGGACCTGGACCCAGAAAAGGGAGTACAGTGACTTTTCCCGAAGTTTCCTGATTGTAAGCAGCACCTGGCTTGGCTTGCTAAAAAGATCCCCGGGCGCACTCCTACGCTTTCAGAATGAGACTCTCCAGGCTCTGAAGCCAGGGGAGCCCAGGGTGTTTGGAGAAACACCAAGGAAAGAATGGTGGGCCTTGCCTTCTCATCCTAGTTCCGGGCTGACCTCACCTCTTCAGCCTGGCTTGGCCGCCAAAAGCAGCAACGAGGAGGCCGCACAGACAAAAATGGCTGCAGCTATGGAGGATGGCTGATGCCCACCCTGACGGCGACCATGATTCCCAACCTTGGGGACTTATTAGAATAGTAAGAAATAAAGACAGTGCCACCCCCAGAGACCAGTTAACTCACAATTTCCTACAATGCATGGAGCTCAATAGTTTCCAAAGCCTCAAGTGATTCTACTGTGCTGCTCAGACCTAGAACCACCTGCAGAAATTCCATCCTAGTCCTGCGAGCTCTCACCGGTTCCTAACTGAGCACTCACTTCTACGAGGCCGTTACCCAGGCTTTGAAGAAGCTGCCTTCCATACCATGTCTTCCTACTGCAGAGGAGCTTTTCTCAGGATTTCTCTCCCACCGCCAGTTTTGCAGTGTTCCCAAAGACCGGGTCGAACCTCCTAACAAGGTGCAGGGCTTTTTAAAAATTTTATTTTTTAAACCTTAGTGGGAAGCACGGGCTCCCACGCTCTTCCCAATGCTGCCATATCTGGAAACCAGGCCTGGTTCAAGCCCTGGGTCATATCTAACTGTACTACCAATCAGCTTTGCAGTGTCCTTTTTTTCATTCATTGATTCAGTCAATTAACATGAGCAACACTATGTTAGGGACTTGGGAAACTAATGAGAAATCCTCTTGTTTTCAAAGACTTTTCTTTCTGACCAAACTGATAAATCATTATTGGACGGTGTGAGCAGGTTACTTAACCTATTTAATAATTAGGCTTGTTTATTGCTATGGTTCGGCTGTGTCTCCACCCAAATCTCACCTTGAATTCCCACGTGTGTGGAATTGAAGGACCTGGTGGGAGGTAATTGAATCACGGAGGCAAGTCTTTCCCGTGCTGTTCTCATGGTAGTGAATAAGTCTCACAAGACCTGACGGTTTTAAAAAGAGGAGCTTCCCCTGCACAAGCTCGCTCTCTCTGCCTGCTGCCACCCATGTACGACGTGACTTGCCCCTCCTTGTGTTCTGCCATGATTGTGAGGCCTCCCTAGCCATATGGAACTATAAGTTCATTAAACCTTTTTCCTGTATAATTACCCAGTCTTGTATATGTCTTTATCAGCAGCATGAAAATGGACTAATACATTTGCTACTTCATAAATCATTACATACTTTGTATAATCGAGTACTGTGCTAATGTCTTTCACCTGCATTATTTCATTTTTGAAATCCTGAATATACAGATGAGGAAACTGCAGTATACAGAGACAGAGCTTTCCCACCGCCACACAGCAAAGTAGGTCAGAGCCCAACCTCAGATGTGTTAAAGATACCGCCTGTTTCTTTAACCCTGAGTTCCAAGCTTCGGTTTTAGCATCTGTTAAGTGAAGGCAAAAATACAAACCTCCTAGGTGGTTGTGAGCATGAGATGAACTAATGCAATGTCCCCCAACCTACCTGATCCCTGGGATGTTTGTTAAGAATTCAATTCCTCTGGCATTTGCATTGGAGATTCTCATTAGAAAAGTCTGGGAAGGACAGTTTTAGCAAGCACTTAGGTGAACCTGATACTTGTGGCCCATAGAACTTCAGACACATTGAGGCAGAAGGATTGAAAATTGTTTCCTTTGAGCTCAAAGGGCCAGATCTGCTTGCAGATGAGCCCAGCCACTGGCCCCTTGAATCCTTCTGGCTGGTTAAATGGTTTATTAAAAATGGACCTAATATGTGCTGTGCACTGGGCTGGGGCCCTTGTATACGTTTTCTCTTAATGATCAATTTCTTTTTGCCCTTCAATATTCAGTTGTTAATCTTGACTGCAAAAGTCCAATTTCTTTTAAACCTGGAAGTTGCAAAGCTTTCTCCAAAGAACTAAATGTACCTCAAGACCGTCCTTGATTTATTTTTCACTGAATAAAACAAAACAGCCATTGCAGGGGAAAAATAAAGAAAAATAAAATCCCAGCCACAAGCCCTGGATTTCAACCCTGTAATTAACCATCTCTGTGAAGCAAGGGGCCTGGGCTGACACCGTCTCCATAAAGCCTTCATACACGTCAATAACAGCCAGCTAAGGCAAAGAGCAAATCCTGCGTCCGGCAGATGGTCTGCCTTTGGATGGAAATTCTGCCTCCTCATTCACAGGAAATGGAAGCTGACATCACATTCAATACTGGATTGTTAGGCAATGGTGTGGGGTCAGAGGCCAAGATCTGCACATGAACATTTCAGATAGATGGCTTGTTGTCCCTTCCTTTCTGGAAGAATTGACCTTTGCAATACTGTTTCCTGTGTGCTATTTTTGTTTAACAGCCTGGGCATTCACAACGAACAGGGCACTTATTTCTTACCCAAGCTCCTGTAAGCTCAATCTGCTCTGAGTACAAGCAGATGAAAAATGGAGGCAAACTTTCCCAAGCCAGGAATTTACAGGCAGCCACTCCTAATTTCTGCAGTAAGTGAAGAGCCGGCCTCCTTACGGCGTGACCTGTTGTCAGAACTTCAGACACAGGCTTGCAGAACAGCCTTTATCTCTCCAAGCACAGCTCCCAAGCCTTACTCCAAAGGTAAACAAATGCAGTCGCCCCAAGATCAAGATTCTTGGAAATCATTTTAATTCCATCTCTTGGAGAGATGAAAACTCCCGCTCCTCTCGGCATATTATAACAACATGTGGTCGATTTTTCTTCTCCTAGACCTCCCACTTCAAGAATTCATGCCTTCACCTCCTCAGACACCTGCCCCCAATGAACCTCTTCTGGGCAGATTAAACCCTCTCATCTCTGATGCTTTCATTAGTGCACAGAATCAGCACTTAAGTAGCCAATCTAAATGCCAAAGAAAGAATGCTCCTGGGACCGGAGGCAAGGAACTTGGGGATGCTCTGTGTCACAAGAGACAGGAAAGGCCATCCCATCTATATTCATCTATGTCACCTGCCCATTGACCATTCAACTTCTCCAACCAAGTGACAGTCATACTAAACAATGACACCTTCTAAGAAAGGCATCGTTAGACAGCTTTGTCACTGAGTGAACATCACAGAGTGTACTCACACAAATCTAGATGGTACAGCCTATTACACATCTAGGTTACATGGTAAAGGTCCTAGGCTACAAACCTGCATGGCACATGACTCCACTGAATACCATAGGCAATGGTACAGTAAAAAGGCAGAAAGGTACAGTAAAAATTCAGTGGAAAAGATTAAGGAAAAAAAGGTACACCTGGATAGGGAAGCTCCGTTATAATTGTATGGGAGCATCCTGACAAGTGCTCAAGGGTGTACTATGTGATTGACCAAAACGTCAATAGGTGACTCATGACCGTGCCGTGATGGGGAGCTTATGCCCCTCCCTATACACCCCCAGATCCCATTTTATGTACCCCAAGTGACTGACAGCACTAAGAGAAACAGGCACCTCCTGGAGCAGCAGCTGCTAAGACAGCCTCTGGCCCAGGTTCTCATCTCTCCCACCATCAGCAGGGGCAGGCTGAGTGCAAAGGCAACACTCAGAGAAAGGCAAATGGGAATCTCAAAAGCAAACATGAACAATGACAAGAATGACCAAGCATTTGAGGATACTTCGTTTAAGAAAAAGAGCTTAATCCCCTCTCCTTCTCATGTGGGCTGGGCTTAGTGACTCATTCTTTTTTTTTTTCCTGGTAACTTTTGGGGTACAAGTGGTTTTTGGTTACATGGGTGAATTCTGAGACTTTGGTGCACCTGTCAACAGAGCAGTATATGTTGTTCCTAATGTGTAGTTTATGTTATCCCTGATGCCCCTCTGCCCTTCCCCTTCTGAGTCTTCATATTCCATTATACAACTCTGTATGCCTTTGCATACTCATAGCTTAGCTCCTCCTTATAAGAACATATGGCATTTGGTTTTCCATTCTTGAGTTACTTCACTTAGAATAATGGCCTCCAGCTCCCTCCACATTGCTGTAAAAGATGTGATTTTTTTCTTTTTTATGGCTGAGTAGTAGTCCATGGTGTGTATTTGCCACGTTTTCTTTATGAACTCAGTGGTTAACGGGCACTTAGATGGGTTCCATATCTTTGCAGTTGTGAATTAGCAACTCATTCTAACCAAACTCAGCCTAAGTGAGCAGTGTGTGAGATCTGAGGCTAAATCTTGAAAGGCACTTCAGCTTCCTCCTTGACTCAGGCTGCTTACTGTGGACGCAACCAGCTGCCATGTTGTGGGGAGCCTCCAACAGCCCAGTGGAGTAGATCTAAGGTGAAGAATGAGATTTCCTGCCAAAAGCCTTGTGAGTTAGCTGT